GGCTGCAGGGGTTTTTGGGTCGGGGGCGGCGGGGGGGGGGTTATCGGAGACTGAACTCAGAAGCACTCAGCCACTGAGCCACATCCCAGCCCTATTTTGTATTTTATTTAGAGACAGGGTCTCACTGAGTTGCTTAGCACCTCGCTTTTTGCTGAGGCTGCCGTTGAACTTATGATCCTTCTTGCCTCAGCCTCCCAAGCCACTGGGATTACAGGCGAGCACCACTGCACCCAGCTACTGGCTCTGGTTTTTTATCTGGCTTTCTGGTCTCCTATCTGAGGGACTGAGAGGGTCTTGTGATACAGAGTGTGGAAGTTGCCAGGGTAGGGCAGAACCTGGAATCCTAAGTGCTCATCCTTCCCCAGGGGCTCTTGCAGCTTGCAGCCATCTTGCAAGTAAACTCTGGCAAATTCATGGGCCCTACCTCTGGGAGTGGGAAAGCTGATCTAGGGAGATGGCTGCTGCTCCCACCTGGGCACATCCAGTCCAGCTGCCTGCTCCTAGGTCCCTGTCCCTGCTGTAAGGGTGCAGTTGCCCTGGTCAGTCTCTAGGTCTGCAGATAGCCCCTCACTAAGGCTGAGTCCCTGATGTACAGTGACTGGTCCTTCCACCAGACCTCCAAGTCAGCTTCATCTGTAAGAGAAAGAGGTGTCCAAACTCCCAGAATCCAGGCTGCTTGACCTGTGGAAGACCTGGGAATGCCTGTGGGTCTTCCTCTAGGTTGTTGAATGAGGAACAAGGCTAGAATTCCTTTTCTCCCTTCTTTTCCTTGGGGTGCTGAGGATTAAACTCAGGGCCTTGCACATACTAAGCATGAGCTCTACCACTGAGCTATTTCTCTAGCCTAGGATGGAGACATTAAAATTGTAAACTGCTTACCATGACTGAAGCATGTGAAGTCTTCTTCTCATTTATAAATAGCAGACTGGAGAAACCTGCCTGGCAGTTCTTCAAAAGTGGAAAATAAAGGCTGGGGGTKCAGTTCAGTGGTTGAGCACTTGCCTAGCATGCACAAGGCTCTGGGTTCCATTCCCAGTATTGCGGAAAAAAAGTGAAATGCAGGGGCTGGGGTTGAGGCTCAGTGCTAGAGCGCCTGCCTTACATGTGTGAGGCACTGGGTTTGATCCTCAGCACCACATAAAATTAAAGAAATAAAGAGATTGTGTCCATCTACAACTAAAAAACAAAATATTAAAAAAAAGTGAAACAGAGTGCCCATGTGTTTTACTACCAGATAGTATATGCCCAAGAAAAATGAACACATTATGTTCACATGGAAACTTATACATGAATGTTCATAGCAGCACTAGTCCCTGTAGTCAAAAGGTGGAAATAGCCCAAATGTCCTGCAATGGATGAATGGATAAACACAACATGGTCTATTCATATAGTGGAATATTATTTATCCATAAAAAGGAATGAACCAGTGACACACTACAGCATGGATGAACACCGAGGGCATTATGCTTAGTGAAAAAAAGTTAGTCACAAGAGGCCACATACTATAAAACTCCATTTATACAAAGTATCTAGAAGAGGCAATCCAGAGAGTCAGAGAGCAGATTAACTGTTGCTAGTGGCTGTGGGGGGTGGAACAGGGAATGACAGCTAAGGGACACAGGGTTTCTTTCTGGAGAGATGAGAATGTTCTGGAATGAGAGTGCTGGCAGTCGCATTCCTTTGCGACTACATTAGAAACCACTGAATTTTCACTTGAAAATACAAAGGAGCCTGCAAAAGACCACCAAACACATGGGAAACAGTGAGAGACACCACAAGAAAGAGAACTCATGACATGAAAAAGAAAAGTTAAATACAAAAACAACACAGAAATCTTACAAAGAGGAGTGGTGGTGGCTCCTGCCAACTAAGTCCCTGTAGAAGCAGGGAGGGCAAGAGTGTGACTTATTGACTATGGTCCACTTGGGGACGCTGAGAGTGAATGCAGTCAATGTCAATATTGCTCTGGGACAACAGGACAGACCAGGCTACTCCAATGACCCTAGGGACCAGAGCTGTGGGGCTTTCCCTATCCTTTGACTCTAGAGAGGATAAAATACCCACTGCTGTTCTCGCCACAAAGACACCAGATGCAAGTGTCACAGGCTGGATCCAGTGGGATTGTGGGGAGCTACTCTGAATGATCTGTGTCTTCCGGCCTGGAGTGGAGAGGCTTTTGACCGTCACTACATCTTGTAATGAGTGACCTGAACATTGCCTCGGTCCCAGAAATTTGAGGACACATCTTCAAACGTAGGCGTCACCCCATGGATTGAGCTACACTCACCTGTTCCTTTGTGATACTACCCCTTTGTCCTGTTTGGGATAGAATGTTCCATGGATGGCTTTGTGTATCCCCTTCTCTTGCTCTGCCTTTGGGTGTGGCCTTCCTAGATGTCAACCTGCTGACAGCAGATATCAGGAAGCTAGACTCAGCCCCCTGAAATCTGACCCCTGGCCTCATTTGAATGGCTTCTCTTCAATAAAAGGGKTCAGCAAGAGCTCGCTCTTTCTTTGTCTGTCTCTTGTGTGGTTATTTCGTGCTGCCCAGTTCCCCTGGAGTGACCCTGAGTGTTTTAGTCGTGGGGAACATGACATGGGATGAATTGGGAAATGGGACTTCCAAGACCCACGATTACCTACAGCTGCAATGGTAAGACCAGAGGTGGGCAGCCCTTGCTGTTCTTGGGGATGCTGACCACAGCTGTGTTTACTGGATGGGTGCTGTGATGATGTGTCAAGTACTCGGTCTCTACTTTGCACGGTTTCAAGGTGGCTGTAACACCTGCATTCACAGATAAGCACCCTGAGCTGGGGGAAGTGAATTTATTAGCCTAGGAATTCCTAAGGGAAAGCCAGCATTTCTGTGACTGCTCCAGGGCTGACCCCTTTGGGTCACACTATGCACAAACAGGAATGGCGAATGAAGTATGCCTGGAAGGTGGGGACTGAGGCTACCTCAAGTGTGACTTCACCAGGGAAACGGCTCCACGCTGTTGCTAACCTGAAAGTCAACTCAGCTGCCTAAGAAAAAAAACGAGTCAAGCTTTCTATTTTCCCCTGTGACTGACCTACTAGCACTTGAGGAGGAATCAGATTTAAGTCAGGTCCCCTGAGATCCTGAGCCTCCTGAAGGTTCTCTGGGCTTGTCTGAGCTTGCCTGGCTGCTGTTCCTGCTGTTCCGCCTCAGCTTTGTCTGAGGGCTGACCAGTGAACTTATCTCATTACATCCATTTCTGACGTCCCCCAAGTCAGCCCAACCCACACACTGAGATCTATAAATGGCTGAGATAGAATGACCTTCCCCATATCTCTGTATTCAATTGATCTGACAGCCACCTGTGTCCACATCTGACTGGTCACCTTGTGAACATCTGGAATCCCCCTCCTCTCGAYCCCCATCACTCCCCAGCTCACCTGTGCTCTGACACTCCACCTGCCTCGTGCACACAGCCTCTGCGCCTCCCTCCTTCTCAGGCTGAATTCCATGTTCACTTCTGTTCCCTTCCTTCYGACAAAGAAAGACAAAAATCACATGTAAGTCTCCCACTTAAAAATCCTTTTGGCTAAAGGATGAATTCTCTCAGAGGCCTGTTGCYTGTTACTCCCTGCTGGTGCCATGATTAACCACTACAACCCTGGCAGCTCACACCAACACACACTCGTTATGTCTCAGCCCTGGGCTTCAGAAGTCTGAAATCAGACTCACCAGGCTAAAAACCAAGATGCTAACAAGTCGGTCCCTCCTGGAGGCTCAGGGGGGAACCCACCCACATCCTGCCCTTCCCAGCGTCTAGAAGAGCCCACATCCCTCGGCTCGTGGCCCCTTCCTCTGTCTTCAAAGCYAGCACTGCTGTGTCTTCCAGTTCCTCTCTGCGTCTGACCCTCTTGCCTTCCTCTCATGCAGGACACTGTGGTGACGCTGGGCCCCCATGACCCAGGATCAWCTTTCAATCTCCAGTTCCTTACTCCAATCACTTCACAGTCCCTTTTGCTGTATGAGGTCACATGGTCACAGTTTCCAGGAGGTTGGGACACAGACATCTTTGAGGAGCCATGGTTCTGCCTGCCACAGCGGGGATCCACAAATTTTTCCTAGAAAGGGTCCTAGAGCAAATATTTGATGCTTTGTGTGCACATGGCCTGTTGCCAGGACTGGCTACCTAACTTTCAAAAGTGTGGGGCCCTGTATTCATAATTATTACAAACTTCAAAACGGTTAGTTCCATGCACAGTGTGCACCTCTGTGACACAGGCCCTGCCGGGGCAACTTCACCTCTGCTACGGTAGCTCTGAGCAGCCATAGGCAATGCACAGGGGAGCAGCTCTGTTGTGTAACTGTCAAATTTTATGGACAATGCAATGTGCATTTCATGGAATTTTTACATGTCACAAAATACTAACTGTTCTTTTTTCCCCCAACCACATAAAAAATGTAAAGCTCATTTTTAGCTTCCAGGCTGCACAAAAACAGGCATGGGCAGAACCCCATCATTGTTTGCTGATGCCTAGTCTAGGGGATAATGTTCCAACTTCTCTGACTCTCTGGGGCCCTTCAAAGCTGGGGACACACACCTCTCTAGTCCCAAGTCACTCCCTTCTCCCCTCCCACCTCCACCCCTGGCCCTGATCAATCCTCCTGGACATCTGTGCCTCTGTTCCTGCCAGTCCCAGCTTCCCACCTCTACCTAGCAGACCCTCTCTTGTGCTTTAATCTGGTCAGATGTTACCCTCCACCAGAGGCCTATCTGTGCCCGTTCCTTGTCACACTAGATGGATTTGTGTTCTGATATGGCTGTTTCTCCCTCAGGGCAACAGTGTCCCAGGTCCCAACTGGGCCTCCTCAGTGTATCTTGACTTAGGGAGCCTCCACAGCTTGTGCTGGAGGAAGAGAGGGTGACTTGCAGGGGTGGCAAGGACAACCTGGAACAACCCTGGCTGGAGTGTGCTCTGATTCCTGATACCCTGAGGGCTGATACTTTGCTTCTGACGAAAACAAAAAACAAATTCAAAACAGAAGACAACAACTTCATATCTCAAATCTCAACCAGTAAAAAAAGATCTCTAAGACTGAGCAGATCTGGGTTCAGAGCACCACTCTGCCCTTAACAGATATGTGCACAGGGACAATCACTTCTCCTGTCTCAGGACAGGGACCGAACTCACCAGTCAATCAGGCCTCATAGGACCTGCCCCTGCCAGTTCCACAGTCTACTCTGTGGCCAGTGTCTCCACAGCTGGCCCCTTCTTACTCCTGAGTGTGCTGGGTCCCCGCCTGACTCAGGGCCCTTGCATGTGCTATTTTTTTCTGCCTGTAACATTCTGCTTCCTCGTGCCTCAGCTGCAAGGCTGCTGACGTAGGAAGCCTTCCCAGATACCCCCAAATTAGTTAACTCTTCCTATTGCATGCTTTTCTGGAACTCTGGCTTTTGCAGATTATAGTCATTTGTGTAACTCATTGTTACTCTTCATAAGAATAAGACATAATAAGCACTTCATGTCAGGCTCTGTTGCAGAATTTCTAAAAGTGGGTTATTTCATTGAATTCTCATAGTACCCTCAGGAAGTACATCATCCCCATTTTATGGAGTAGGAGGCTGAAGCTCAGAGATTAAACAACTTGTCCAAGGCCACACTGCTAGTGAGTGTGGGAGCTACCCTCTCAAACCTGTCTCTTCAAGTTGACCAAGGTCCATGAGATTAGATGCCACGTGTGACATGGTTACTGTTGTGTACACTCACACCTCATGTACTATGGGCAGTTAAAAAGTATTGATGATCTAAAAGAAATAACACCCCTAGCCACAGGCACTCCCAGAGCCCAGATCTCAATTTCAAATACCATTCTCTGAAAAAGGAACCAGTGTCCCTTACAGGAATGGCTGATTCCAGGACTGTAGCATCTTATAATGCCAGGGAGTAAGGAAATGCTGTGGAAAGTGGGAGGGAACCAAATACACAAAAAAMCCAATGATGGACACACCCAAGGGTCACAGAAGCCAATTAACAGAGCCAAAAGATGGCCAGAGCTGGAACAGCTTGAGCAACAAAATAAAGTAGTTTTGAGTTATAACCTAAAGCATAAAATAAATAGCTAGGAGTCCTTGCCAATATAACTAGATCAYTGAATGAACTAATAAATGGAGAAGAAATAAATCTCCCATGCAGAAGGAGTCTAAATAATTTATGTTACATAGATATTCACCCTCAGGAGGCAGAGCATAACCCTTCACTTTTTAAGTGTGGGCTGCACTTACTGACTTCTTCCAAAGTATACGATAAGGAAAGGGGTGGAAGTAGTTTGATGGTGGAAAAACCAGACAAATACTACCTCAGTCAAGTAATCAAAGCTAACATCAACAGACTCAAATAATGTTGACTGCTGGRCCTGGCACAACATGATACAAATGGCAATTGACCTCTTTGGTCTTACTGCCAATAACCCACCATCACAGCTTATYATGACAAATTCCAAGAGAGGAGCATCCTAAAAAATACCTGAGCAGCACTCCTCAAAACTGTCAAGGCCATCAAAAACAAGGAGAATCTGAATCTGCCACAGGCAAGAGATTAGATAGGACAATTAAATTACATGTAACACGGGATCCTGGATGTGATCCTGGAGGAGAGAAAGAACATCAGAGGAAAAACAAGTTAAGKATAAATCAACTATAAACTTTAGTCAATAACAAAGTATCACTGAGTACAGTGGTTAAGCACTCCCTGGGTTTAATCCCCAGTACTAAAAAAAAAAAGAAAAGAAAAAGAACAAAACCAAAAGTTATCAGTATTGGTCCATTTTAATGGCATCATATTAATAAAAGATGCTACTAACAGGAACCAGGTGGAGTGAATAATGGTAACTCTATTATCCCTGAGAATCTGAAAAGGTAATTAAAAATAGTCTATTATTAATAATAGAGTATAGATGAATGAATGGACTTTGACTGCTTTTTTTTTTTTTCTATTTTTCTTTTTGAAATGGGTCTCACTACGTTACCCAGGCTGGTTCTGAACTTCTGGGCTCAAGTAACCCTCCCTCCTCAGCCTTCCGTGTAGCTGGGACTATAGACGAGTACTACCTCGTCCAAACTAAGGACTTCCTTCTTACTCATGGTAACAATGATGATAGCACTCACCACAGGGGATTGTACAGGAAGCCTTCAGCATCAAGTACATACTCAGTTCTGAGCATCTGCTATCACAGCATTAAACCTGTGCCATCCACGACACCAGACACTATCCCTACGTGACTATTTAGTTAGAAATTAAATACAATTAAAAATTCAGTTCTTCTGTGGCACTAGCCAAATGTCCACAAGCAACATGGAGACAGTGGCTACTGGATTAAACAGTGTCGATATAGAACATGCCATCCTATCAGAAAGTTCTTCGGGATAACACTGAACAATGAAGAATGTGATTATTTGTTCAGTGTTCTTGTCTCCTTGGTTCCTTTTGCAGAGGCCATCTTTTCAATCTTGCTGACCACCCTCTTTCAAATTGCAACCCCATGTTTCTCATGCCCTTTCCCCAATTTATTTTTTTTTAGTATTTATTTTAGTTGTAGGTGTACACWRTGACCTTTACGTTATTTTTATGTGGTGCCAAGGATTGAACCCAGAGCCTCACATGTGCTAGGCAAGCGCTTTACCACTGAGCCACAATCCCAGCCCCCCAATTTATTTTTCTTCTTACCCTTTTCATCACTTGAGGTGGGATCCACTTGCTTTCTCTTCTGCCTCCCCATCTCCACTRCACAGGTGGTGACAGGTGATAGATGACTGATGAGTCCCTGAAATGCAGTCAGTTCAATTTGAAATGTAAAAGATTTCAAAAGCATATATTAAGAAAAAAAAAAGTTCAGAATGTAAAACATCTCCTAATTTCTTACAATGATCACATGTTGAAATTATATTTTGGACACACTGTGTTAAATAAAACATATTATTAACATCGGACATCACCTGCAACTATTTACTTTTTTTAAACATAGGTAATAATTTAATTAATCAACAATTTTTTTTTGTTGTTGTTGCAGTGCTGGGGATGGAACCCAGGGATTCGCACATGCCAGGAAAGTGCTCTACTATAAGCTGCACCCCCAGCCCACAATTTAATCAATTTAAACTGTAGGTATAACTGACAAACTTGTGGCCGGATTAAATTTCTACTGCACAGCAATGATTGAGAATATCAGTTACCAGACAATTTTAAAATTAAGCTTGTGGCTTGTACGTATTTCTCCTGGACAGCGCCGACCTAGGATGTCAATCCAAACAGACAGGTACGTTTTTATCTGTTTGCTGCCCAGACAGTATGTGGCAGCTAGTAGGCTCTCAATAAAATTGTAATGAATGAATGAGAGACTGAGCTTCTGGGAACCGGCTTGCTCTAATAACTAAACTGATGGAGTGGTGACCACGACCATGCCCCGCCTCCTTACAGCACCAGATGAGGAAACTGAGGCCTGGTGTGGTGACGTCAGCTCGTGTCCAGCCACACGTAGTGCGCCAACGCCGGGGCCGGGATTCGAACCTGGGTCCTGTCCCCATTACCCCTGGCGCGCTGACCGTTCCTACCTTACGGCGGCGGCGGCGGAACAGACAGGTGAGGAACACACGGTATACGTCCGACAAGTGTCTCCAATCCTCAGCCCAGTCAGTCTCTGTGGACTGGGCCTCAGCTCGCCCCTTCCGCGGCCATCGCTGGCCACCCGCGTCTCTGCCGGCCGCCGAGCTCTTCGCAGGCGGCGCCGACCGGAAGTCCCGCCTCCGCCGCGCGCTCCAGGGTGCCGCGACAGCCACGCCGACCAATGAACAGCGCGCCGTGGCGGACATCGACCAATGGGCGCGCGCGCCGGGGGGGCGTGTCCGGGCCGCGGGCCGGAGCGGGTCGTGCGCGCTGAGGAGGAGCCGCCGCCGCCGTCGCCGTCGCCGCTGCCGCCGCCACCGCTACCGAGGCCGAGCGGAGCCGTTAGCGCCGCGCCGCCGCCGCCCGCCCGCCCCGGAGCAGCCCCGGGCCCGCCCGCCCGCGTCCAGGTGAGGCGGGGAACCTTCGGTGGCGCCCGACAGGGTAGGCCGCGGCAGGCCTGAGCTCGCCTGGCCGGGCCGCGGGCGCCCGCGGGCCTGCACCGGCCGAGGCCCAGGCCGCGCCGAGGCGGGAGGGGACGCGCGCGGGCCGCGGCAGAATGGCGGGCGGGCGGGAGCCGGCTTGCGTGGGGGCCAGCGACAGGCCCAGGACTGGATTCCTCGGGCGCCACGAGAGGCGGGCGAGGGGGACTCGGCGTGGGCACGCGCCTGGGGGCCGGGCTCCGCAGCGGTGGCCCCGGTAGTCTTGGAAGCCCGGCATCCGGGGGCGGGAGAGTGGAGCCAGAGGCGGGGGAGTGGGGCAAGAGTCTTTACCGCGCAGAGGTCACGGCCCACGGGCTCGCTCCCCCGGGAAATCCTACAGATTCTTTTGTGGTCGTTGTCAGCCCCGCCGCCGGTCTGAAGTGCTTTTAGAAGTGTGTAAACCTTTCAGTACCTATGGGAGTCCTAGAAAAGAAAAAAAAAATTTTTTTTTTTTCTGATCGCCATTTCTAACAATGCTGTTAGTGGGGCGTGGGATGTTTAGATTTGTAAAATATACGTATATGTTGAAAACAAACGGCACTCAACAATGGGGGACGGATGGTCTTCCTTTTGCCTTGTCTTCTCCTGCTAGGTTTACTAAAATGGGTTTTGGTACCTACTGTGTACAGGGCAGGTGGAGAAGAACTTTTGTATGGGGTTGCCCCCGGAGCGACAGAGCCCCCTCATCAAAAGTGTTCATATGAGATCCTGATGGCCAGTGCTCCAGAAGGGGGAAGATGGGGAGGATGAACCAGCCAGAAAAGAGTTTCTCAAACTCAGCTCTACTGACAGTTGGGGTCACATAATTTTTGGTTGTGGAGCGMTGCCCTGTACATTGCAGGAAGTTGAGTAGCATCCCTGGCTTCAACCCATTAGGTGCTAGCAACATCCTTGTCCCTGCCCCCAGTTGTGAGGACTAGAATATCTCCAGATGACACCTGGGGTGTCTCCATCCTCCCCACCCCCATAAGAACCATCCCTGAACTTAAAAGTTCCCTCCACCATGGGAGAGGCTCCCAAGACTTTGAAAAGCTCAGCTGCTTTTAGCCTTAGTCTTCTTATCTCTGAAATGGTAAGGACAAAAGTATTGTGCACACTTAAGTATGTGAGGAGTCCCTTGTGTTGTGCATGGCCTTTGCGTAGTAGACATGGGATACCTGATGTTATAAATAATTGTCAGTACTTATTTATTTAGCCAGTATTTATTGACAGATAGTCTTGACGTTTCACAGAYATTTGTCTCCAGCCTTAGAGGTAGGAAATGTTATAGTTGCCATTTTAGAGATGAGGAAACTGAGGCTTACATGGATCATGTGGTATAACTTGTTTCATGCACTAAAGTGGCTGAGGCAGGATTTGAACTCTGATGCTTACCCTGAACCACTGGGCTTCACTGCTTATAATCACAGGGGTCTAGGGCACCCTTTCAGGCAGTGTTTTAGGGAGTCCCATTCTGTTGCCATTGAATATCTGTGTGCAAAACTGTGCTGAGGTCTGTTTTAAAATGCTGAAACTTGGGGTCCACGAAGAGGCCCAGATATATAAACACCTCCAGATATGGCAGGAAATAATGTTTCTGTTGAAGCACTTGTTTGAGGGAGCAGAATTTCATTTTGGTTATATTGAGTCTGGGATAACAGAGCATCAGGTAGAAAAGGAAAGAATTATGAAAATGCTGTCTTCTGATGCTTGCTCCGTCACTTCTTTCACTTGCTGCTTCTCGTCTCTGTCCTCTTTCCACAGTGAAGCAAGATTGTCTTTTGTAAATGTGGATCTGGTTTTGTCCCTCCTTATTAAAAGTCTGAGTGGGAAAAAGCAAATTTTGTTGATCTGTTTGAGTAACTTGAAAGAGAGTCAGAAGCCCTGAGCTTAGAATGCCAGTTCTTACATACTCAAACCCTCCCTTCTATTCTGTCCATCTGTACATAGACTCCCAACTCTGACCCTTTATGCCTATTTCTTCCTCTGTCTGGAATGCTGTTCTCTATCACCTGGTGATCTACACAGCCCATCCCAGAGCACACTCACCATTTGAAGCCAACCCTGACTACCACCCTTTCTCCACCCCCACGGGAATCAACTGTTCCTCGTTTGTGTTCTCATCCCATTCAATTTATTGAATCAAATTGAATGCTGAATGGTTAGAGAGGCGCAATGCTGGCTTCTCACCCCTAGATGGCAGTAGCGAAGTAGAGAGCCTAACCTGAGACTGTGGAGTCAGGGGAAGACCAAAGGAAACAAGCCTATGGAAGGAAGTGAGCCTGGCTTTCCTGGTTTGAATGAATCTCTCTGCTCTACTGCTGTGTCCCAAGCCCCACAGTAGGCTTTAGGGAGCCAGTGGTATATATGATGGCTGTGTAGATCATTTCAGCCACTCTGCTGAGTGTGATGGTTATACACGGCCTGATGTGGAAGCACAGAAAATGGAATTGTTATCCAGACTTAGGTGAGCACAGAATCCCAGAGTGGAGAACAGGTTTGTTGGTCAGGCAAAGGCCAGAGGGAAGGGCTTTGTGGGATGCAGGATCATAGGGGCAAATAAACATGGAGGTGGAAACTTCTCCATTTATTATAGAAACACATGGGATGTGGTACTTCTGGGGTAAGAAGGATGAAGTGAATAGTGGCCATAATTGCAGGTCTGCTGGGYATAGGGCTTGTGTGTTATGAGGGACTACTGAGCAGCATTAGTCCCCAAAGAGGCAGTTAGATATGCATAGAAAGAGCAGAAGAGAGATAGAGCTGAAGGTCAGAAAACCAATTAGGAGGCAGTTCTTTCCTTCAGGTCAGAAAAGTTAGGAATATGGCTCAAGGCTGCAGTGGTCAGGACAGAGAGGAAAGTGCTGAGACATAATTAGGGGTTCAGAGTCACAGGACTTGGGGGTGCTTAGGTGTGGGAAGTGAGCAAGTGCATACACTTGAGTGACCCAAAGATGAGTGGTTGTTAAAAGAAACCAAGAAGGCAAGAGTTGTGATTTAGTGAGTTTTGAGACAAGAAACACATCGCTGGAGCAGAGTGCAGTAAGTGGGAAGGTGGCAGAAGAGTCTGCTTGCWCTTCTGAGCCCCCTGCTAACCCTGCCTTCCCCCAGCACAGATGGAGTGCTAACCACATGCTAGGTGTGGGACAAGGCACAGGGTCTATGCACAGAGACTCACTCGCATGCCCAGAGATCCATCCCTGCTCCACCCAGAGCCTCAGAGTCAGTCGCAAAGCACTTGCACTGTCGTAGCTTGGAAACACAGAACTTAGCTGCTTGTTCATTATCACTGGGAAGAAGAAGAAATTGCTTCCCTAAAGACTTAGAACTTGGATTGGGAGAAGAGATCTTGATGTGCCGTATTTTAAGGATTAAGAGGCCTGTTTCTGGTGATGTGTTGAAAGGAATGATTATCTGTTGTTGAGGTTTTATTTTTGTCTGAATATGTTGTTGTGACCAGAGAGGTGTGGGGAGGGCTGTCTAGGGGTAGCCAGTGGCCTGAGAGAGTAAGAGAGAAGGAAGGCACCAAGAGGCAGTTTTGGAGCCCTGTGTGGACTGGTTTGACCAGGCAGGTCCAGAAGGGTCAGGTAGTAGTGAGTTTCTCAGCCTGGTCAAAGTGATCCTGGAAGATGTGTGGCAGGGTAAGAGTGCTCTTGTGCTTTATATGCCCTGTGCTTTGTTCTGTGCCTGGCACGTAGTTGGCACTCCATCTGTGCTGAGGAAAGGCAGGGTTAGCAGTGGGTTCAGAAAGGGCTGGATGTAGCTACCCATCAAAGAGACCTTTATGCCAAAGGAAGTGTTCACAGGAGAGGGAACAGTACAGAACAACTCAATGGCAAGGCTGGTGTCACTGTGAACAAGACACTGAGAGACAGGAAGAGGAGCCTTTGGAGGGTTTAGAGACGCCCCTTAGGAGTTGGTCTAGGCAAGAGGTGACAGGGATCTGATTAAGGATGATGGCAGAGAGGTGGGGGCGGGGTAGAGATATCTCAGATGTCAAACTGGCAGGACTTGGTGCTTGATGAGGTACAAAGAATGGAGAGAGGTGAATTGAAGGACAGGTTGGAGGTGTCACCCTTGGAGTAATTTGGGGTGGAGGGATTTGAAGAGGAACTAGGAAGAGAGGAGATGAGGGTGCTTGTATCTAGAGACAGGGAGGTTGGGAAACACATTTATCAAGTGCCTGGTGCTGTATAGCAGGTGTTGACATTCCATCTGCATGTTGGGAAACAGGCTCAGGGAAGAAAGTGACTTACTGTAGTTAAGTTGGTCAGCAGTAGGATTGGTGTTGGAGCTCAGACTTGTCAGACTCCAGAGCCCAGGTTTTTTCCTGCTATGCTGTGTTGCTTTTGTTACAGAGCTTTAACAGCTAGAGAGAGCTGGGACTCTTAGCAGGGCTCTGGAGCTGATCAGGTCCCCTCTGGTGCACAGAGCATTTGGACTGTGCTATATTCTGGCTGTGTCTGACCTGCTTCTCCACACACTCCCCCCCCCACACACACACACACTCCCTGCCCCCACATTGGCTTCTCAGCCTGGCTGATACAGAATTGCTCTAACTTAGCAGGAGCCGCCCCAACCAGGCTGCTTTCCCCTCTGTAGGCCGCAGACAGAGGCCAGTAAGTTGCTGTGTGCGCTGTATCCACCCAAG